TCCCTCACTTCGCCTATGGGGGTGTGTCAAACATTATATATGTTGTTGTAGTTGTTTAGGCTACAGTGGGTTAGCCTATAGGGGGTACACATTCCTAGGTTTCGATACTTGTACTCAATTCACTCTTAGTTCATTCATTCTTGTTCAACAGACTCTTCTCTGGCACCATCGCCTTGGTCACCCCTCCCTGCTTCGTCTCCGAGGCATGGCCTCTCGTGTCCTTGTCTTTGGTCTTCCCCGGTCCCTCCCTCCCCTTCCTCCGGGGCCTGGCCCTATCTGCGTCCCCTGCGTCAAGGGGCGGCAGCGGGCTGCCCCTCACTCCTCCCAGTTTCCTCCGACAGAGTCCCCGTTGCAGACGCTTCACATGGACGTGTGGGGCCCGGCCCGCGTCCGTGGTCAGGGTCACGAGCGCTACTTCCTGCTGGTGGTTGACGACTAGTCGCGTTACATCACAGTCTTCCCCTTGCGCAGCAAGGGTGATGTCACTGAGGTTTTGATCGACTGGATCCGCGCAGCTCGTCTCCAGCTCAGACAGAGCTTCGGCTCGGACTATCCTGTTCTGCGTCTGCACTCTGACCGAGGCGGAGAAATCTCCTCTGGCCTTCTGCGAGCCTTCTGTCGTGCACGAGGCATCCGCCAGACCTTCACGCTTCCGGACTCTCCACAGCGAAATGGGATTGCTGAGCGCCGCATTGGCATGGTCATGGACGTCGCCCGTACGTCCATGATGCATGCGGCTGCCCCCCATTTTCTGTGGCCGTTTGCGGTTCGGTACGCGGCGCATCAGATCAACCTTCAGCCCAGGGTCTCCAGGCCGGAGACCTCCCCAGCCTTGCTGTGGACGGGGAAGGTTGGCGATGCGTCTGCTTTCCGTGTCTGGGGATCTCGGGCGTTTGTCCGCGACTTGTCTGCGGACAAGCTGTCCCCTCGTGCTGCTCCTTGAGTCTTCCTGGGTTTCCCCCCTGACGCGCCAGGGTGGCAGTTCTACCACCCCACCTCTCGCCGTGTTTTGTCCTCCCAGGACGTCACGTTTGACGAGTCGGTCCCCTACTACCGACTCTTCCCCTACCGCACTCCGTCTCTCCCCCCGCCGCCGCTCTTCCTTGTCCCAGGTCCCCCTCCGGTAGACCCCCTTCCCCCTCAGGGTCCGTCCCCTTCAGGTGTGTCCCAGGTAGACGCAGTCGAGCCTGTCGAGGTCACTAGTGACTCTGGTGCTGCTGAGGGTGCTGAGCATGTGGATGCTGACTCTGTGGGTGCTGAGCGTGGGGGTGCTGAGTCTAGGGGTGCTGAGCCTAGGGGTGCTGGGTCTTGGGGTGCTGAGCCTAGGGGTGCTACGCCTGGGGGTGCTGAGCCTGGGGGTGCTACGCATGGAGGTTCTGAGCCTGGGGGTGCGGAGCCTGGGGGTGCTGAACCTGGAGGTGCTGCGCCTGGGGGTGCGGAGCCTGTGGGAGCTGCGCCTGCTGGTGCTGTGTTTGGCGGTCCTCCAGGTGCTTCGTCTCGCCGGGAGCCACTCTCTCCACAGGAGCTGCGTGAGTGGTTTGCCCGGCGCTGGAGGCGGGCTGCTGGAGCTGGAGTTTCTTCGCCTGCTGAGGGTACTGGTACCGAGGGTCCCGGAGGTGCTCGTACTGGGAGTACTGGAGCTGCTGGGCCTGCGGGTACTTCTGGAGCTGGAGTTGCTGAGGGTGTTGTCGCTGAGGCTACTGCTGTTGGTGCTGGAGGTGCTGCTGGTGCTGCTGGAGGTACTGGAGCTGGAGGTGCTGTTGGCGCTGGTGCTGCCGCTGGGAGTACTGGTTCTGTCCCTGCTGTGACTGGAGTCGCCGCGCGGCCTCGGCTGTACTTCGTTCCGCTCCTTCAGCAGGTTCTTGGTCTCCCGCCTTCTACTGGTCCTCCTCCTCCCTTAGAGTGTCCACTGCCTGACCCGTCACCGCTACAGTTACAGCCGACCTCCCCACTGCCTGCTCCGTCTCCCTACATTGGTCCTACTGGAGGTCTTGCTGAGCGTCGTGAGCCTCCGTCTCGCCCTGCGTCGCATGTCCGTGCTGCTCGCACTAGTGGTCGCGGTTCGCGTCAGCGTCCTCCTCCTGTCCCTGGCACGCACAGGATGTCTCTGCGTCCGTCCACTGCTCCACTGCGTGCCCCTTTACCTTCTCCTCCTGAGTCCTCTCTTCCTGCTCTTGCCGACCCTGAGTCGGACTCTCTTCGTCCTGCCAGTCCTACTGTCACGCGTCTCCTTGCTACTGTCGTCACTGACCCTTCTTTTGAGTCCACTGCTGCGTCTGCCCTAGTTGCTGAGCTCGTCGACTTTGCTGCTCGCTGTCGTCTCGACTATGTCAGAATCCCAACCACTAGACCATTGGGATAAAAGGGCTTGTTTTAGTAGCGGGTCAGTGCGCCCATAACCCCCCAGGCGAACGCGCCTGTAACCCTCTCCAGGATCAATCGGGCATCCACAGTGCAGATCTACTGACACCCCCCCACACTGGGAGGCCCAGGACTAAGCACAGCGGCAACGGCCTACATGTGCATACACTGGGAATCGAACCCGAGACCGCTCTGATACCATGTCAGAATCCCAACCACTAGACCATTGGGATAAAAGGGCTTGTTTTAGTAGCGGGTCAGTGCGCCCATAACCCCCCAGGCGAACGCGCCTGTAACCCTCTCCAGGATCAATCGGGCATCCACAGTGCAGATCTACTGACAGACTACGCTGCTAGTCTTGTCGCTGAGTCTGAGTCTGTCTGTCCTCCGTCCGTCGGGGGTGAGTGTGCCCTTGGCACGGACGTCCTTGAGGACAGGCAGGAGGAGTTCCAGTGTCTGGCTGCTGCTTCACCTCATCTCGTGTCCGTACTGCTTACCCCTGAGGGAGACCCGGATGCACTTGACATCCCGACTCCGCGCTCTTACGCGGAGGCGATAGAGGGTCCCTACTCCTCTCAGTGGCAGGCAGCTATGGATGCAGAGATGGCTTCCTGGAAGTCCACAGGCACCTACGTTGACGAGGTTCCCCCACCTGGGGCGAACATCGTCAGTGGCATGTGGATTTTCAGGGTGAAGCGGCCGCCGGGTTCCCCGCCTGTCTTCAAGGCGCGGTACGTGGCTCGTGGCTTCAGTCAGCGGCAGGGAGTTGACTACTTTCAGACCTTCTCTCCCACCCCGAAGATGACCACTCTTCGGGTGCTGCTGCAGATAGCCGCCCAGCGCGACTACGAGCTTCACTCTCTTGACTTTAGCACTGCTTTCTTGCAGGGCAGCCTGCACGAGGAGATCTGGCTGCGCCGCCCACCTGGCTTCACTGGGACTTTTCCTCCTGGCACCCAGTGGAGCCTCCGGCGGCCAGTCTACTGTCTCCGCCAGGCACCGCGTGAGTGGCACGATACACTGAGGACTACACTTGCGGCTCTTGGGTTTGCTCCCTCTACTGCCGACCCGTCGCTGTTTCTACGCACCGACACTTCTTTGCCGCCGTTCTACATCCTCGTGTACGTCGACGACTTGGTCTTTGCCACAGCTGACACTGCTGGACTCGCTCACGTGAAGTCCGAGCTGCTGAAGAGACACACGTGCACAGACCTGGGTGAACTGCGCAGCTACCTTGGCTTGCAGATCACCCGGGACAGAGCACGCCGCACCATTACCCTGACTCAGTCACACATGGTGCAGCAAGTCCTTCAGTGCTTCGGCTTCACGTACTCCTCGCCTTAGGCCACTCCTCCGCCTACTCGCCACTCGCTCTCAGCTCTGCCTTCGGATGAGTCCGTAGAGTCGAGTGGCCCGTACCCAGAGCTTGTTGGCTGCCTCATGTACCTGATGACCTGCACTCGACCTGACCTTGCATACCCTCTTACCATTATCGTTTCTTCTCATAGTGCTCTGAAACCATGTTAGAATCTAGTAGGAGGAATGAATTGACTAGATCAGGGTTTGGTACAAATATAAAACCCTAATGGGGTTGTACCCCATATTGGCTACCCGACTACAGCCTACACATATATAACATGCATATAATTTGACATTGGAAAGCTATGGTTTGTTGAATATAATGTTTTTTTTCTGTATTTCCTACATAGAAAAATATGGTCTTTTCGACGGGGCAATCAAATGCAGCTGCCAAACTCTACTGCAACAATAACTTGCTTGTGTCGATTGTCCACTTTAACGACATGTATTAACGTATAGTAAAACTCGAGCGTTGTTGATTAGTTATGTGATTGTGAGTCTCGATGCTACAAAGAGAATTGAGAAAATCGGCCCTCTTAGCTTCAGGCCTGGTACGGTACAATTTCAGTCAGCACAGTTGTTATGAGTTGTAATGAAAGAGTGCACAGAATTCAATAAAGCGGAACAAAATACTACAACTGAGAGAATAATGAAGCCAAGTACTACGGTAATATAGCAACGCTAGCTACGTCGAAGTCGCGGAGTTGCGAGATGGCTGGGTGCAGGTTTGGGGTTGAAAAACCCGAAGGACTTGCCACTTGCACAATGCATAATATACGGTACAGTACAGGGTTAGACTTCAAAATTTGTGATTAAGTGTGAGCAGGCTGGATATTGTAGCCATAAAGAAGATGCACTGTGACAGGTCACAGGGGTCGCCCAGGACAACACGCCTAGCACACTATTTAATGTTGTTTTGTTGCTGTCCTCAAGGGGCCCCACAGATATGCAAACAAACAAACCGGTGCACCAATCACTTTCCAATCGAACTCAACGCGTGCCTTGAGCAATGGGCGCCCTTGCAGTCAGGCATTTTCCCCTCCAAGGCAAGGCACTGACTCGCTCCATGCAAGTGGGAGCGAGTGAACTCGGGGAAAAAAAGAAATGACCAGCCAGCCAGCCGTAAGCAGTCCAGGGAGGGAGGCAAGGCAATGTGGTGATAAACTGCTGCTTGATTCGCTCAATGGCTGGGAATGGCAAGCGTGCGAGCACCACGCCAACAGCTGCACGCATGCGTGTGAGCGCTCTCCTCTCCTCCCTGCTTGCCACAACCCCCTGCCTTAGCTCGGACTATCCACCTTTCCCTCTCCCTCGCTTCTCTCCCCTTCCTCCACCCCTTCGCCTCCTGCCCTCCGCTGCCGCCCCTCCTCCACCTCCTCATCCTCCTCTGCTTCTCCTGACAACCTCGTTTCCCTTCTATCCGCTGCGTCCTCCCCCTCCTCCCCCTCCCCTTCCCTGACCCACTCTCCCGCCCCTCCCCGCCCATCCCCACGGCCCCTCTCGGTCCCTCCCATGCCAAACGCACTCTCCTCCATTCCACCCTCCCCCTCCCCCCCTCCCCCTTCCTCACCCCCTCTCGCCCCGCCCTCCACCCCACCGCCCCCAGTGCGCCCCCCCACCCCTCCCTCCTCCCCATCAGTGTCGTCCGCTCCCTCCCCTAGCTCCTCTCGCCTCCTCTTCACCCCAATCTGCCCCTCCCCTCCCAGCCCGCCCTCCTCATCCCCATCTTGCTGCTCCCTTTCAGACAACTGCAGCTCATGTGTCGCCTGCTCCTGCTCCTGGCCCTTGCCATCCTGCTCCTCCTGCTCCTCCTGCTGCTGCTCCTGCGCCACCCCCTCCCCCGCGTGCTGAGCGCCCAAGCCCAGGTGGTGCAGGTGCTGCAGGTGGTGCGGGGGCAGGCGGGCGGGCTGGGCGGGGAACCCCACTTCCGTGGAGTCTGCTGCCACAGCAGCGGCACTCGCAGAGCCCTGGGCGGGGGGAGGGGCAGTGGCACACGCGAGAGGGTGACGGTGAGCGGGCAGGCGGGCGGGCTGGGCGGGGAACCCCACTTCCGTGGCGTGTGCTGCCACAGCAGCCGTGCTTGCAGGGCCCTGCGCGGAAGAGGAGGGGCAGAGGCACACACGAGAGGGGTGGCAGTGAGGGGTGGCAGTGAGGGGCGGCAGTGAGGGGTGGCAGTGAGGGGTGGCAGTGAGGGGCGGCAGTGAGGGGCGGCAGTGAGGGGCGGCAGTGAGGGGTGGCAGTGAGGGGTGGCAGTGAGGGGTGGCAGTGAGGGGCGGCAGTGAGGGGTGGCAGTGAGGGGTGGCAGTGAGGGGTGGCAGTGAGGGGCGGCAGTGAGGGGCGGCAGTGAGGGGCGGCAGTGAGGGGCGGCAGTGAGGGGCGGCAGTGAGGGGCGGCAGTGAGGGGCGAAGTTGGAGAAGCGGATGGTCTGTGTGGCAGCAAAGGTGGCGCACACGAGGGCGGGCAAGAGGTTGGGCCGGTTCAGTGGGGTGCAAGGCACATGTGGGATACGTGGCACACGTGGCACAAGACTTGACCACTGTGCGAACCTATGTGCCAGCATCGTTTTCACCTTATGCTCGCAGCAGAGCGGAGCATTCACTTGGAATGCGCCGAGCAAGCAACAAGCCAACGGGGCCGGGGAAGGGGGGAGCATAAAACGTGCGAGTGCAAAGTTGCGACAACCGAGCTCCCACAAGGCCTTAGGGTGCAGAGATGCAAGCTTGGGCTTTCTCCACTGCCTTTCTATTCTATTAAGTACTTCCAGCATCTCTTTAACCAGGCAGAGAGTGAAGAGGGGTTTCACCCACCTGTTGCAAGAAGTGCGGCTGCTGCTGTGCTGCCTGCTCAACCTGCTCCTGCTGCTCTTCCTGCTGCTGCACTTGATGTGGCAACCCTGCCCCCCCACCTGCCTCTGCCTCCGCCTCTGCACCAGCCCCCACTCCAGCCCCCATGCCCGCTGCCATGCCATGCATCGCGGCCATTGCACCGCCTGCTGCGCCCCCTGCCGCCCCCGCTGCTCCAGGCTGCACCCCTGATGGCGCGGATGGCATTTGGGAGAGCACGGGGATGGCAGGCGGGCCCTTGCTGAGGTCCCGTAGCACACCCTGGGTGGTGGGATAGAGGGGGGAGAAGGTGGAGAGGTGTGAGGGGGAGAGCACGGGGATGGTGGGCGGGCCATTGCTTGGATTCCGTAGCACACCCTGTATGGGCGGAGGGGGGGAGAAGGGGGGGGGGGGGGGGAAGGGGGGTCGCACCCCGGCTGGCGCGGATGGCATTTGTGAGAGCACGGGGATGGTGGGCGGGCCCTTGCTCAGATCCCGCAGCACACCCTGTGTGGCACGAGAGGGGTGGAGGCGGAGAGGGGTGAGGGGGGGAAGAGGGGGAGGTAGGCGTACAGGGGATGGTGGGCGGGCGGGCCCTTGCTGAGGTCTCGTAGCACACCCTGGGTGGTACACGTGGAGGAGAGTAGGGGAAATGGGTACAGGAGAGGCCGGGGGAGGGGGAGAGATGGGGAGGAGAAGAAGGAAGGAAAAAGCTGAGAAGGCAGCAAAGTGTGCAGAGACGCCGCACCGCGCATGAGGCTTGGGAGTAGGGCAGGTGGGAGGGCAGGTGGAGACATGGCAGGGCGAAGCAGTGCGGCTGCGAGGAGCACCCTCGTTGCACAGCGATTCCCTCCCCCCTCATGTGCTCGCCCCCTCATGTGCTCGCCCCCTCATGTGCTCGCCCGCTCATGTGCTCGCCCCCTCATGTGCTCGCCCCCTCATGTGCTCGCCCGCTCATGTGCTCGCCCCCTCATGTGCTCGCCCGCTCATGTGCTCGCCCCCTCATGTGCTCGCCCCCTCATGTGCTCGCCCGCTCATGTGCTCGCCCCCTCATGTGCTCGCCCCCTCATGTGCTCGCCCCCTCATGTGCTCGCCCCCTCATGTGCTCGCCCCCTCATGTGCTCGCCCCCTCATCTTCACTGCCCGCACGCACCTTGTGGGCCCACATGAGCCGCACGCACCTTGTGGGCCCACATGAGCCGCACGCACCTTGTGGGCCCACATGAGCCGCACGCACCTTGTGGGCCCACATGAGCCGCACGCACCTTGTGGGCCCACATGAGCCGCACGCACCTTGTTGGCCCACATGAGCCGCACGCACCTTGTTGGCCCACATGAGCCGCACGCACCTTGTTGGCCCACATGAGCCGCACGCACCTTGTTGGCCCACATGAGCCCGCATGCGTTGCAGAGGGTGCGCGGCCCCTGCGGCCCGCGGCGCATCATGGGGGTGGCCTTCTCCCCCGTGCCGCAGTGCTGGCAGCTGCACGGTAGGGGGGGGAAGAGGGGGGCACGCATGGTGGTGGGCGCATCATGGGGGTGGCCTTCTCCCCTGTGCCGCAGTGCTGGCAGCTGCAGCGTGGTGGTGGGGGGGGGGGGGGGCATGCATGGTGGTGCGAGGGAAGGACATGCATGGTGGGAGGGAGGGGCATGCATGGTGGGAGTGGCATGCATGGTGGGAGTGGCATGCATGATGGGAGTGGCATGCATGGTGGGAGTGGCATGCATGATGGGAGTGGCATGCATGGTGGGAGTGGCATGCATGGTGGGAGGGAGGGGCATGCATGGTGGGAGTGGCATGCATGGTGGGAGTGGCATGCATGGTGGGAGTGGCATGCATGGTGGGAGCGGCATGCATGGTGGGAGCGGCATGCATGGTGGGAGCGGCATGCATGGTGGGAGCGGCATGCATGGTGGGAGCGGCATGCATGGTGGCGGGGGGAAGGGTCGTGCATGGTGGGAGGGGCATGCATTGTGGGGGGGGCATGCATGGTGGGAGGGGCATGCATTGTGGGGGGGGCATGCATTGTGGGGGGGGCATGCATTGTGGGGCGGCATGCATTGTGGGGGGGGCATGCATTGTGGGGCAGCATGCATTGTGGGGGCGGCATGCATTGTGTGGGGGAGGGAATGAGACGGAATGATCCATGGAAGGCTCTTTACACAGCCGCCAACTGGTCGGAACGATGAGCACCACGTGCGGATGGACGGATGGGAGCGATGCTAGAGGTGGGAGCGATGCTAGAGGTGGGAGCGATGCTAGAGGTGGGAGCGATGCTAGAGGTGGGAGCGATGCTAGAGGTGGGAGCGATGCTCGAGGTGGGAGCGATGCTAGAGGTGGGAGCGATGCTAGAGGTGGGAGCGATGCTAGAGGTGGGAGCGATGCTAGAGGTGGGAGCGATGCTAGAGGTGGGAGCGATGCTAGAGGTGGGAGCGATGCTAGAGGTGGGAGCGATGCTAGAGGTGGGAGCGATGCTAGAGGTGGGAGCGATGCTAGAGGTGGGAGCGATGCTAGAGGTGGGAGCGATGCTAGAGGTGGGAGCGATGCTAGAGGTGGGAGCGATGCTAGAGGTGGGAGCGATGCTAGAGGTGGGAGCGATGCTAGAGGTGGGAGCGATGCTAGAGGTGGGAGCGATGCTAGAGGTGGGAGCGATGCTAGAGGTGGGAGCGATGCTAGAGGTGGGAGCGATGCTAGAGGTGGGAGCGATGCTAGAGGTGGGAGCGATGCTCGAGGTGGGAGCGATGCTAGAGGTGGGAGCGATGCTAGAGGTGGGAGCGATGCTAGAGGTGGGAGCGATGCTAGAGGTGGGAGCGATGCTAGAGGTGGGAGCGATGCTAGAGGTGGGAGCGATGCTAGAGGTGGGAGCGATGCTAGAGGTGGGAGCGATGCTCGAGGTGGGAGCGATGCTAGAGGTGGGAGCGATGCTCGAGGTGGGAGCGATGCTAGAGGTGGGAGCGACGTGCGGGATGGGACTGATGGGAGCGATGGGAGCGATGGGAGCGATGGGAGCGATGGGAGCGATGGGAGCGATGGGAGCGATGGGAGCGATGGGAGCTGTGGGAGCTATGGGAGCTATGGGAGGGGTGGGAGGGGTGGGAGGGAGAGAGTGGCTCACATGGCTTCAGGGGCTCACATGGCTTCAGGGGCGGCATCGGGGCGGTCGTGGGCGGCGCTCTCCCCCATGTCGGGCGGCGCATCCTCAAAGAAGGCACCGCCCCCACGGTTGGACGCGAACTGCCCCTTCTTGCGACACATCCTGCTCCCCTCCGTGCATGGCGGGCCATGGGGAATGCGGAGAGGCCGCAGGCAAGGAGACGGGGGGGGGGGTGTGGGGGGGGGGGGGAACGGAAAGGAAATGGAAGTGATGGTGCACGATGAGGCGTGTCCAAGAAGCCCCTCCGTGCATGGCAGGCCGTGGGCAATGCGGAGAGGCCGCAGGCACGGGGCAGGGACACAGAAAGGACACGGAAGTGATGGTGAAGCAGCATCTAGAGAGGTGCACCACACAAGCATGCCCCACACACACGAGCATGCCCCACACACACGAGCATGCCCCACACAACCACGCCCCACACAACCACGCCCCACACAGCCACGCCCCACACAACCACGCCCCACACCATCTGCACCACCCCGTTGGGCCCGAGAGCATCTTACATTTGAAACTCGTGGGTGAAAGAACCTACTTGTGGTCTCTAGAGTCTTCTTTCCATGTGGAAACAAAAGGTGTGCAACTAGTGCTTGTGACACCATATAAGACCTTGAGACATTTGGGGGAGGGAGGGGTTTGCTCACAATTTAGCTTGCGAGAGTCCCTCGGTCCCGGAAAGAAACCATGGTACCTATGCTACAGTGCCCCTCACTACTTACGAGCCAAAAAAAAAAAGAGCTTGAAACTGTTGCTGACTTTTCCTTCCCGTGAACAAATTCGCGTGACATTGTATCCAGGGGTATTTTCAAGAGGCTCAAGATACACGAGCATCTAAGGCTCAAGATACACGAGCATCTAAGGCTCAAGATACACCAGCATCTAAGGCTCAAGATACACGAGCATCTAAGGCTCAAGATACACGAGCATCTAAGGCTCAAGATACACGAGCATCTAAGGCTCAAGATACACGAGCATCTAAGGCTCAAGATACACGAGCATCTAAGGCTCAAGATACACGAGCATCTAAGGCTCAAGATACACGAGCATCTAAGGCTCAAGATACACGAGCATCTAAGGCTCAAGATACACGAGCATCTAAGGCTCAAGATACACGAGCATCTAAGGCTCAAGATACACGAGCATCTAAGGCTCAAGATACACGAGCATCTAAGGCTCAAGATACACGAGCATCTAAGGCTCAAGATACACGAGCATCTAAGGCTCAAGATACACGAGCATCTAAGGCTCAAGATACACGAGCATCTAAGGCTCAAGATACACGAGCATCTAAGGCTCAAGATACACGAGCATCTAAGGCTCAAGATACACGAGCATCTAAGGCTCAAGATACACGAGCATCTAAGGCTCAAGATACACGAGCATCTAAGGCTCAAGATACACGAGCATCTAAGGCTCAAGATACACGAGCATCTAAGGCTCAAGATACACGAGCATCTAAGGCTCAAGATACACGAGCATCTAAGGCTCAAGATACACGAGCATCTAAGGCTCAAGATACACGAGCATCTAAGGCTCAAGACACACGAGCATCTAAGGCTCAAGATACACGAGCATCTAAGGCTCAAGATACACGAGCATCTAAGGCTCAAGATACACGAGCATCTAAGGCTCAAGATACACGAGCATCTAAGGCTCAAGATACACGAGCATCTAAGGCTCAAGATACACGAGCATCTAAGGCTCAAGATACACGAGCATCTAAGGCTCAAGATACACGAGCATCTAAGGCTCAAGATACACGAGCATCTAAGGCTCAAGATACACGAGCATCTAAGGCTCAAGATACACGAGCATCTAAGGCTCAAGATACACGAGCATCTAAGGCTCAATTCTTGGTAAGCTACAAACCCTCACCTCTGCGCCACCTCCTTGCGCACGCTGTAGCGGATCTCACCTCTGCGCCACCTCCTTGCGCACGCTGTAGCGGATCTTCTTGTCGAAGTTGCGCTCCTTGCGCTTCTCCCGGAAGCGGTTGAGAGACGCCAGGCGCTGCGGCTGGTTCAGCCGCACCGGCAGGTCGCCCCCCACTCCCCCCCCCACATGCTGCTAGCCATGGCGGTTGTGTGCGTGACAGGGAGGACGGGGGAACATATGGAGCGAGGGAGATGGGAGGGCAGGGGCGAGGGTGTGAGGAGAGGGGTGGGAGGGACGAGGAGACCAAGGGGGAGGGACGAGGAGACCAAGGGGGAGGGACGAGGAGACCAAGGGGGAGGACGAGGAGACCAAGGGGGAGGGACGAGGAGACCAAGGGGGAGGGACGAGGAGACCAAGGGGGAGGGAGCAGAAAGAGCATAGTGACAGATAAGGGAGAGAAAACATCATGGGTGGATGGATGGACGGATGGATTACGATTGGAATCTAGGACAGGAGGGGCATCGGAAAGGAAAGGCAGGCTGAAGGGCGGGCGCACGTTCAGAGGCATCAACACCCTCAAGGAGACCGACGCAGCGAGCAGCGGTGAAGGCAGGTGAAGGTGGGTGAAGGTGGGGGTGCATGACATCACCCGCACGTGCATGGACGCAGGAAGATGAGGGGAAGGGAAGGGAAGGAGGGACGCCTGTGGGACAACGAGAAGGAATGTAGGAAGTGAGAATGAGCGGCATGAACGAGGTGGGAAGGAGAGGACGAGGGCAGGAGGTGGGAGGGGTGAAAAAGAGGACGGGTAGGAGGACGGCGGAAGAGCGGGAGGGGGAGGGGGAGGGGGAGGGGGAGGGAGAGGGGGGGAGTGGGCGGGGGGCACCTTGAAGTGGTGCTGGGGAACACTGCCCACCATGGATGGCGGCACCTCCCTGCCTCCCAGCAGCAGCAGCACCGCCTGCACCTGCATCACAGCAGAACCAGCACAGTGAGCAGCACACAGGGCAGCACACAGGGCAGCACACAGGGCAGCACACAGGGCAGCACACAGGGCAGCACACAGGGCAGCACACAGGGCAGCACACAGGGCAGCACACAGGGCAGCATGGGTCAGCAGGGCACATGAGCACTGCCTTCCCTCGTGTTCCATGTGCCAAGCCTTGCACAACTTTGCCCCTTCACAAAAAAAATCTCTCCAATATGTGGCCATGAAACATCTATCCTATTTGCGATGTGGTACATAGAGGAATCATGTATCCAGCTCCAATACCTCCCTTGAAACGCCTTCGCATCTAGTTCATAAAGGCATCGCATCTCCCCAACCCACCTTTCCAGCCCCACGCGACAGCCCTCACCGTGCACCACCTCACCGTGCACCACCTTACCGTGCACCACCTCACCGTGCACCACCTCACCGTGCACCACCTCACCGTGCACCACCTCACCGTGCACCGCTTCACCACCCCTGCGCTCTGCACTGCACTCCTCTCGTCCGCCTCCGCTCTACCATGGCAACCCCCTGCCCAATCCGCGCAGCCCGTTGCCCCAAACTGCCCACACAGCCAGTCCCCCCATTTCCCCCTCCCATGCGCGCGGCGCACCTTTTCGGGCAGCACGCAGTCGAAGACGTACAGCTCCCAATCCCCCCTCCCCTTTCCGCCCTCGCTCCCCCCTCCCCGCGCGGCGCACCTTTTCGGGCGGCACGCAGTCGAAGACGTACACCTCGCCGTGGTACGACAGCGACAGCATGTTCGGCCCGCCGCCGCGAATCGCGCCGCCCATTCCGCCGTCGCCGGCGGCCATGACGCCGTCGTGGTCGTGCTCGCCCGACCCCGCGCCGCCGTGCTCGCCGCCGTCGTCGTCGCCGTCGTCGTCCATCACGCCCTCGTCGCCCTCCGCCACGTCCACGTCATCCATGCCCACCTCCACGTCAGCTCCGCCAAGGTGCTGCACGAGCGCGAGGTGTTGCTGATGATGACGTGGCGGCTGATGCTGGGAAGTCCCCGGCTGCGCGATACCCATGCCGAGGCCTTGCTGCTGCTGTTGTTGCTGCTGCTGCTGCGCGGGCTGGTGCTGCAGTGCGCGGTGTTGGTGCTGCTGCGACGGGTGCTGCGACGGGTGTTGCGACGGGTGCTGCGACGTGTGCTGTGACGGGAGCGCATGTGGCGGCGCGTGCTGCTGCGACAGCTGATGCTGAAGGCCCGGCGGCGGCGGCGGCAGCGGCGGTTGGAGGTGGTGCGGATGCACGTGGGCGAGGGCGGCGGGGTGGTGCGGTTGGAACGGTAGCGACGCAGCGTGCATGCCGCGCGCTTGCAGGTCCAGCATCATGTGGTGCTCCGCCATGCACGGCCGCGCGGCGACGGCGCGCGTACCTAGCTTCTCTAGGGGCCAAGAGTTGTGGCGAGGCCGACCAGAACGCGATGCGTGACGGGCTCACGTCTTATTCAATGTGTTCCGCTTGTTCGCAAGCTTTAATCGCAAATACACTGGCGTGGCGAACGACAGAGACGCGATACCTCGGAACGCGAAGAGTGAATTCTGTCAAGAGTTACGTCGAACGAGACGACCGCGTTGAGGGTTTGGTGTCGCGGTTCGGATAGAGTAGATTTCTAGAATATTCGAACAATTGAATTTTTGAAGGGCACGTGTGGAAAGAGGGTTCTACGAGTTGCTGCATTTGCGACGTAAGAGAATTCTAATTTCGTTACAGTCGTTCATGTCACCGTACACAAACTTGGAGTACACTTCAGCGAGTCAATCCACCACATCCACCTCAAACAGGTTTCATGAGCACATGCTGCTGGTCAGCGGTCTAGGGTTTACTTTCTCTCCCTTCGCGATAAACTCGCCACCGCTCTTCAGCTCGTACTCTCAGTCGCAGCGCCCTTTCCATTTCGATCTGCTCGTTGTGCTCACCGTCTCCACCGGCGAGGATCGTCGTCACACAAGCGACCGTGTGTCGTTAGCGACGTGCGATGGCAGCGGAGCCGGCACAGCCGCAGGAGTGGGCGGCGGTGGAGCAACAACCGGAGGTGTCGCGGTCCGTCATCACCTCGGCGATCGACCGGCTAATTGAACAGGCACGACGACGGTTTGCTGACTTGGTCTTTTCACGCGACGACGGTTTCTAATGCAGTGTGTGGGGAGCCAGTTGTGTGTGGGGCGTTGCTAGCAAATGCAGTGGCAGCAGACCGCTGCTTGCCCTCCAGGATGCGCCATCGCGAGCTCTGCCATCGCGAGCTCTGCCATCCATCGCACGCGAGCGTGCCCTAAACACACTTCGCGTCGCGACAGCTCCCCCGTCGTGATTGTCGGGCGGTCCGAGTGCATCGCGGTCGTCCGCCGACACGATCGTCGATTAGAGCGGCTGACGTGCTCGGTGTTGGCGCGTTCGCGCACTGGCCGGGTCAACGCGCGCGTTCGAGCACGGGGCGGGCGTGTGTGGCGAGCTTGCTGACGTGCAACGGTAGAGCTCCACCCATTGCTTAGGCAGACGGGGGGGGAGAGCCGGTGGTGGTGGGAACATTGAAAAGTCTTAAGAGTCAATGCTTTGCTGAGAGGAATCATGGCGCAAGGGAAGTCAAATCGACTGCACGGATTGGTTTCTGCGAAACGCGTCGCTCACTCTCTGTCTCCTCCCGCGTCCATCCGCGCCTTCCCCGCTGTTCGCGCGTGCGTGTGTGTGCTGCTTTGTGCGTGTGCTGCGGGCGAGCGGGCTCGCAGGGCAAGGAGACGGTGAAGGTGACGTTGGTGGCGGTGGGCAAGGGCAGCGTGGGCAAGAGCGCGACGCTCACTTGCTGTTTCCTCCCGCGTCCCTCCGCGCCCTGCCCTGTGTGCGCCCCTGTGCCTGTGCGTGCGCGCCTGCATGCTCGCAGGGCAAGGAGACGGCGACGATAGTGGCGGTGGGCAAGAGCGCGATGCCCACTCTTTTGTCTCCTCCCGCGTCCCTCCCCTCCTTTGCCTCTGTTCGTGCGTGCATGTGTGCGTGTGTGCGAGCAGGGCAAGGAGACGGTGACGATAGTGGCGGTGGGCAAGGGCAGCGTGGGCAAGAGCGCCACGCTCAACGCGCTGCTGGGGGAGCGCCTCTTCCCCACGTCGGGCTTCCAGGCGTCCGCGCACCCGCGCGAGGCCGTGCGCCAATACGGCGGCGCCACGTTGCACGTCATCGACACGCCCGGCCTCGTCGACGCCGGCACCGTCAACCGCACCGCGCTCGACGCCATCCTGCAGTGAGTCGCGCCGCAGGCAGTGGCGCGCCGCGCCGCATGCGCCATGCGGTGTGATGAGAGGAGAGTCCGCCTTGAGGGGAGTGCTGGTCGGCTGCATGCACATCATGGTGCGAGCGAGCACTCCGCGATTCCATCATCATCATCATCATCATCATCATCATCATCATCATCATCATCATCATCATCATCATCATCATCATCATCATCATCATCATCATCATCATCATCATCATCATCATCATCATCATCATCATCATCATCATCATCATCATCATCATCATCATCCGCCTGCCATCGCACCATACTGTGCTCCTTTCCCTCGCCATCATGCCCCATCATCATCATCAATGCCCCTCGCCTCCCAACCCGGCGTCTCCGCCCTCCGTGCTCTACTCCCGCTGCCCGCCCGCCTCCCGCCCCTCCGCCCTGTATGCGTGTAGCGCGCTGGTGGGGAGGAGCGTGGACGTGCTGCTGTATGTGGAGCGGCTGGACGCTCTTCGTGCTTTCAGTGTCCCCCCCCCACCACCCCGCCCCCCTCTTCCCCACCCTAGTTCGCTAGTGGGGCGCACGGTGGACGTGCTGCTCTATGTGGAGCGGCTGGACGCGTACCGAGTGGACACCATCGACGCGCTCGTCGCGCAGGGCATCTCCAACGCCTTCGGCCCGCAGGTGCGCGCTGTCCTCCCCGCTCCCTGCCCCCAGGTACCCCTCCTCGCCCCCCCGTCCCCCTCGAGGCACCCCCTCTCTGCACCTCTTCCTTCTCGTCGTGTTGCGCGTTGCCCCCCTCCTCCCTCCCTCCCTTCCCCCCCCCCCTCCCAGCCATACCCGGCCCATCTCGCGCCCCTCGCCGCTTGCGTGCCCCCACTGTGTGCCCCCCCTGCGTGCCCCCTCCGTGCCCCCCCTGCGTGACCCCTGCGTGACCCCTGCGTGACCCCTGCGTGACCCCTGCGTGCCCCCTGCGTGCCCCTCTGCGCGCTGATCAGATCTGGAAGCGCGCGGTGGTGGTGTTGACGCGCGCGCAGCTGTCGCCGTCGGACGGGCGCCCCTTCGGCGACTTCGTGGCAGCGCGCAGCGACGCGCTGCTGGGGATGATCCGCAAGCAGGGCCGCCTGGGGAGGAACGATGAGGTGAGGGCGAGGGGGCGAGGGGCGAGGGTGACGAGGTGAGGGGCTAGGGGCGAGGGATGGTGGTAACTAGTGGGTGGTGGTGCGTGGGTTGGAGTGGCAGTAGGCAGCGCGTGAGGGAAGGGGCTACGGCTGGATGAGAAGGCGGGTGCAAGGGCCGCCACATGGGGCACAGTGGCCGAGGCAGGCAGGAATGCTTGCTTTGCAGCAGCATGGCCCCTGATACCCATTTCCTTTTGTCATTTTCATGTTGCATGTCATAATGCAACATGCGTCACATGGCATGGTATTGGATGGCATGGCATGGGGCATGGCTTGGCTTGGCATGGCATGGTATGGGGTATGACTTGGCCTGGCCTGGCGTGGCATGGCATGGCATGGCTTGGCAGGTGCCAGTGGCGCTAGTGGAGAGCATGGAGGGGCGCTGTCGAACCAACGACGACGGTGAGAAGGTGAGCTCTCGCCTCGCCTCACCGTGGGCACCTCTCGCCTCGCCCCCCTGTGGTGTCGTCGCAGAGCGCTGTTCTCAACTGCACCTCAACCCGTGTGTCGCCTGTCCGCCCCTGCTGCTCGCCCCTTCACTGGGTGCCCTCCCGCACATGGGTGTCGTGTTCCATCTTACCCCCGCTGCTGCTTGCTGACCACCTCTGCGTCCCATCCCATCCCATGGCAGGTCTCACAGGCCATAGTGCCCACTCTTCACTCAAGGACCGTGTGGCGCCACGCCTCAACTCCCCTCTCGCGGCCTCTTCCTCGCAATCTGTCTCGCACCCATCATCTTGCCACCATGTATCGCACATCGCACCCCCCACACACCCGTGCAGATCCTACCCGACTGATGGCGGCACGTGGTTCCCATGCCTGGTGGAGGCGGTGGTGGGCGTGGCGCTGAGGCGCCAGCCCTCCTGGTGCCACCACTTCTCACCAAACCCAAATCACCCCACACCCACATACCGCTGCAGATCCTACCAGATGGCCGCGCATGGTTCCCGTGTCTGGTGGAGGCGGTGGTGGGCGTGGCGCTGAAGCAGCAGCCGGTGGACGAGTGCATGGCCAGGGGCTTCAACCCCAACCCACCCCACCCCCCTCTCCCGCTGTGCAGATTCTCCCAGACGGGCGGGCATGGTTTCCATGCCTGGTGGAGGCGCTAGTGGCGGTGGCGCTGAGGAGGCAGCCGGTGGTTAGGGTGGATGAGCGCATGGCGAGGGGCTTCAACCCCAACCGCGCCGGCAAGCTGCTCATCCCCTTCCTCCTCGCCCTGCAGGTCCGCCTCCCCCTCCCACTTGGACCCCCCCGCGCCCTCCCCTCCTTTTGGTCTGCCCTCCCCCCCTTTTGGTCTGCCCTCCCCCCCTTTTGGTCTGCCCTCCCCCTTGCACCCGACACTCCCCCGCTTGCTCCCCGCCTTTTTTTTGCTCTTGTTGCTGAAACTGCTGCAGCACCAGCTGCTTGTTTACTCTCCATCCTTTCAACTGCATGTCTCACCCGCCCTTATCGTCCAACCTATTCGCATACTCACCTGCCCGAGTTTCTCATCTCATCCTACCCGCATTTCCCACCCTAACCACATCTGGTACGTGCCCTCCTCTCTCACCCCACCCTCATCCCTCACTCTATCCCTATCCCTCACCCTATCCTCATCCCTCACCCTACCCTCCTCCCTCACCCCACCCTCATCCTTCACCTTCCCCTTATCCCTCACCCTACCCTCATCCCTCACCCTACCCTCATCTCCCACCCCACCCTCATCGCTCACCTGCCCTCATGTCTGTCACGTGCACGCAGGTGGTGCTGGTGGCGCTGCCGCTGAGGAGGGCCATGGAGTGGGACAAGTCAGAGGAGAAGCGGCACCGGCCGCGGTGGGAGGAGGAGGCCGAGGACTACCGCCGCTCCACCGCTGCTGCTGTCGCCCGCCGCCGCATCGCCGCCTTCCAGCAGCAACAGGGCAAGGCCAACCCCAAGTGACACCAAACTCCGATCGTTCAACACTACCATATCACAACAAAATAAGCAGCTGAGGGGAAAATGTTTTGTGTGGTTGCCATGGGTGGGATATACCCTGTAACGTGCTGTGTCGTTGAGTGTTTAAATTAGAGTATTATGCTAGCATCAGGGTCATATTCAGGTAGCCGAAGCCTTTTGAACAGTTTAGGTATGCGGCAGAAGCTTAGAACAACTGAAGCCTTGTACCGTACTTCCTGGGCTAGTGTAGGATTGTACTGTAATCTTGTTATTTACACACTGAAATATCGTATCCTGACAAAACTAGACTTACCCTATTTCAAGGGCCCACAGATGGAAAAACAGAGAGAAGAGTTAGTAGACACCAGGGCTGGTAAGGCAAGGCAACCAGGGCTTCAGATTCGTTTTGGGCCACCCTTAGTAATCAGGGTTCTAGGTATAGTCAACCCTGATGCGTAGGGTAAAATTTTTGTTTCCCTGACAAATGCAGGGTAAAAAAACAGTTAGTCTGTTTGGGCAGGGTATTCTTAAAAACTTTTTGCAAGTCAAAGTCCCGAAGCACTCAAGATCAATGGCTAGTAGATCAGCTGGTTCAATTGCGCATTAAATCTGTAAGGTCGCAAGTTCATATCTCGCTAATTGTATCGTTTTGCAGGGACCTGTATAGTGTTTCGTCTCGCTACGGAGCACTCAGTACCAGTATAGTTTGGATTGTACACTGTACAGTCAGAGTAATGTGTTCCTTATGCTGTTTTTCAAAGGGTATTGAAAAACTTACACTTTCTGGCCTAGGGTAATAAATCCACTACCCTGCCTGTGAAAGGGTGCTGAAAAAAAGCGGCCGCCAGTCAGTGCAAAAAGGGTATTTTGCCCTGATAACGAGAGGCCTGAAGGCAACCCATATTTTTCACGACCTACGATAGTGTGTACGCCCCAGAAGCTCTATACTCGTTCCCGCCCCTCAGGGCGCGGAACGTCTTGGTTCAAGATGGCTTGTTTCGGTAACAAGCGTTTTAGAACGCGCGAGCCTATTGATAGAAGGTATGTTGCGGTACACTTTTTGAACGTTTCCCAAGTCTTGACCTGGGATGTCCCGCACCCTCACTATTTTCCTGCTGGTCGGGAATGTTATATACTGTACTGCTTGTGTCAAACCCGAAGTGAGGCCATACTACACTGTGTGACGCCAATAGGAATCTACCACGTGGTTGCGGACCAGTCGGACTCAATGCTCCCGTCCATATGGCTCCCCGGTGAAAGGAAGCCATGATCCGAGCCTCGCTCCTCCTCCCGGCTGCCGCAAATCCCAACTCACGGCGGAAGCACCGCGACCGCATTCGCGAACGGGCGCGCGCTTTTGCCCGCGCCAGCCGCTGCTTCCGCTTCCGCTGCGTGGACGCTTCCGTCGTTCCGCGCGCGACGCTGCTGCGGAAATCGGACACAGGGGTGAGCGGAGGTGGGTGCTGGGAAGGCAGGAAGGTGCGCGGTGGCGGGCGAGCGGGGCAGATAGCGCGGATAAGCGGGGGATCTTCGGCGTTCCGAAAAGCCGCGGGAAGCGGAATAATTGGAATGATTGACTCTGCTGCTGGTGCTGCTCAGGGCTGATTTTATCAGGATAATTGTCAAGAATGAAAGTGTTGGTTCATTGATCTGAGTTGGGGTACATATAACAAACCCTAACATCTGTACCCCCTAAGACAAACCTCACTACATGCTACAACATTTGACACACCCCCATAGCCTAAGTGAGGGGTGTCAAGCAAAACCAAAAGTGTACGGTCATAAGACCAGTCACAAAGAAACAAAGCTCAGGGTGGATCACAACGTCACCATACACTCTGAGCACAAGCAACTGGGGCCACAAGGCCAGTTCGAGAGTTCACAAGTGTATATAGCAAGAGTACAAGCAAAGAAAACAGTAGACTCAAGCCTATACACGACTAGAAACTGTGTCAACAAGGCCTAACTGCACACAACACCTCTGGTGGTCACAAGGCGGAAGCGCCTTGGTGAAGATGTCTGCAGTGTTGGCATCGGACTCCACAAACTCGAAGCGAGCCTGTCCACGTCTCTGCAACTCTTGCAGAAGAAAGTACCTGACGTTAATGTGCTTCACTCTGCTCTCCAGTCGCGGCTCTCGACAAAGGAGAATCAACGCCTTGTTGTCAGTGAACAAGGTCAGTGCAGAGCTCGGCCGCTCACCAAGGTCGGCGAGCAAGAAGGTCAACCAACGCAGATCCTGTGCCGCCATGGCACCAGCGTAGATCTCAGCCTCAGCTGTAGAGGTCGAGACCGAAGAGGAGCGCGTGGACCGCCTAGAAACAGCTCCAGAACCCAAGCTGAAACAGTACCCCTGAGTAGACCTATGAGTCTCAGCGTCGTCAGCGTAAGAAGAGTCACAGTGACCAGTAAGTACGACAGGCTGCTGCCCTCCAAGAACTAGCCCCACGCCTGATGTCGTCGCTAGGTACTTCGCCACCCTCACAGCTGCCGTCCAGTGAATAGGACGGTGTCTCCCTGGCGCAACAAAGCGAGCAAGGATGCTGAGAGGGAAGGCGAGGTCCGGGCGAGTGCAAGTCATCAGGTACATGAGGCAGCCCACCAGCTCTGCGTAGGGACCACTAGACTCAAACGGCTCGTCATGAAAGGGTCCAGTAAGTCTGTGGTCAACAGCAAGAGGTGTGCGCTGTACTGTGGAGTGCTGAAGCTCGAACACTGAAGGACCTGCTGCACCATGTGTGACTGTGAGAGTGTAATGGTGCGAGCAGCTCTGTCCCTGGTGATCTGCAGGCCAAGGTAGTGGCGCAGCTCACCAAGGTCAGTGCACGTGTGCCTCTTCTGCAGTTCGGACTTCACGTATGCCAAGGCAACCCTGTCAGCAGTGGCGAAAACCAGGTCGTCGACGTAGACAAGAACAAAGAACGGTGTGGAGCCACGACGAATGAATAGCAACGGGTCGGCAGAAGACGGCTGGAACCCAAGGTCAGAGAGGGTAGAACGAAGAGTGTCGTGCCACTCACGAGGAGCCCGACGAAGACCGTAGATAGGTCACCTCAGCCTCCACTGGGTCCCAGGAGGGAAAGTGTCAGTGAAGGCAGAGGAACGACGCAGCCAGACCTCCTCGTGTAAGCTACCCTGAAGGAAAGCAGTGGAGAAGTCGAGAGAGTGTAACTCATAGTCTCTCTGTGCTGCTACCTGCAGTAACACCCGAAGAGTGGTCATCTTCGGGGTAGGCGCGAAGGTTTGAAAGAAGTCAACTCCCTCGCGCTGACTGAAGCCTCTAGCCTTGAATACCGGAGGAGATCCCGGTGGCCGCTTCACCCTGTAGATCCACATGCCATCAACTACGTTCGCCCCAGGGGGGAGAACCTCGTCGACGTAGGTGCCTGTGGATCTGTAGGAGGCCATCTCTGCGTCCATGGTAGCTCTCCACTGAGAGGCCCAAGGCCCTGACACTGCCTCAGCGTAAGTGCAAGGAGTCGGTATGTCAAGGGCGTCGGGGTCTCCCTCAGGGGCGAGCAGCATGGCACAGAGATGTGGGGAAGCGGCTGCCAGGAACTCTAGCTCAAACTGCCTGTCCTCTAGGGCGTCACATCCAAGGGGAGACTCACCCCTGACGGCCAGAGGACTGGTAGGAGGAGCAGCCACAAGACCGGTGGCGTAGTCAAGGCGGCGATTGGAGGCAAACTCAGTGACTGCGGCAGTAAAGGCGGAGACAGAGGAGACAAAGGCACGAGGGTCAGTAACAAGAGAGGCGAGAACACGAGAGAGAACAGGACGGTACGTGCGGTAGTAGTCAGTGACAGGAGTAGAGAGAGAAGCAGTGAAGGCCGACTCAGGAGGAGACGGAAGGAGAGACGGAGACGAACGAGGCGGACTAGAACGAAAGAGGGCAGTACGAAGGTCAGTAACGAGAATAGGAGACGAGGGACGAGCACGAGGGGAGCGACGAGAGGCCCAAGTCTGAGGAGGAGGGGACAATGGAGGGTGAGAACGAGGGAAAACAGCCGAGGAGGGGTCAGGAGGAGGAAGCGGAGGACCCGAGACGAGAGGAGAGGGGGAGGAGGAAGGAGAGCGGGAGGGGAGACCGAGGGTCCGAAGACCGGAGACAGGAGGAGGAGGCGGCGGCTGCTGCTGCTGCGGCGGCGGCGGCGGCTGCTACTGCTGCTGCTGCGGCGGCGGCTGCTGCTGCGGCGGCTGCTGTTGCGCCTCCTGCTGCTGTAGCGGCTCCAGCTGCTGCGCCTCCTGCTGCTGCGGCGGCTCCAGCTTCAGCTGCTGCAGCTGCTCCTCCATCCGCTGCAACTCTCTCTCCTCTCTCTCCAACTCCAGCTGCTCCTCACGGGCACGACGAACACGAGCCTGGTGCCGGGTCGGGTAGGGGTGGGGGGGAGGAGTAGTGTCAGGGGCTGCGGCAGCCCCGAGACTGCCCTCCAAAGCACCTGGCGCACCACCCCCAGAGTCAGCACCACCAACAGCAACACGACCAGGCTCACCAGGACCCGAAGAGTGTGCACCCGCACCCCCAGACGTAGCACCCCCAAAGTCAGCAGGACCAACACCAGCTCCCGTAAGACAAGAGTCTCCTGCAACCTCATGCTCAGCTCCAACTCCAGCACCCCCAGAGCTAGCACCTGTAGGGCCCTCTCCACGAGCACCGGCTCCCACAGGGTCTGCAGCAGGCTGCGAGGAGGACTGGGGGAAGGAGGCTGCACCTGAGGGGCTACCGAGGGGGGAGGGGTAGCCTGGGACACACCTGACGGGGCGGAACTAGGGGGGAGGCTGTACCGGGGGAGCAGGAGGGGGGGCGGAAGTCAGGAAGAGAGGGGGAGGAGGAACCGGGAGACCTCGAATGGGGTACCTGACGTAGAAGGGGGTGGACTCCTCGAAACGAACATCACGGGAGTCAAAGAACCGGTGAGAGGGAGGGTGGTAAAAGGTGAAGTCAGAGGAGTCCTCACGGAAACCAAGGAAGACACAGGGAACGGCGCGAGGCGAGAGCTTGT